AAAGGGGGGGGGGGAAGAGAGAGAGAGAGAGAGAGAGCGAGAGAGAGAGAGAGAGAGGCAAAGAGAGAAAGAGCATCTTTCTATGATACAAACGTACCCTGTCACTCACCTTGAGGACATGTAGCTGTCGAAGAGGCTCACGTTCTCCGCCTCCTGCGGTGTCACATCGGCGGTAGCATCCTTCACGTGCTTCCTGGTGGTAGGTTATTGTTGTTGTTGTTGTTGTTGTTGTTGTTGTTGTTGTTGTTGTTGTTGTTGTTGTCTTCACATTAAAACCGGTAGGTGGAAGGTAGATAAATACAAGGTGGATAGATGCAGCAAGAGAAAATATTAAACGATCTCCCTCCGCACAGCAGAAACACACACAGCAGTGCAAACGAACCGGTACAATTTTCCCCGCCAAAACACCACAGCAGGGACGACATGTCCCTAAGAATGTACCTCCCCATCGGTATTACATTCTGCGGGGCACCATTGTTGTATATAAGTGGGTGTTTTGTCCATATAACGCGGGGTCCTCAAATAATTGTGGTGTCCTACCGCATTCCACCCTGTGAGCAAAGTGGTACGTGCTTAGTACGATCCACAAGCGGGGGGGATGACTACCGTAGGCTGGTCCTCACCTTGACGCCATGTAGCTGTCGTAGTACGAGACCTGCTCCTCCGTGGTGCACTCATCTTCTTCCTCGCAGTCGATGTCAGGAGCGGCTTCTACCTTGCTTGATGCCTCTGGAAAACATCATCATCAGTGAAAGCATACAATATGTATAATCAAACACGAAACAACAATCAAAAGAGGAGACGACGATGCCAGGAGCGGCTTCTACCTTCGTGCCTCTGGAAAACGCCACCAACAACATTGGACAACCAAACAAGGAAGAAAGAAAAAGAGAAGACCACGATATCAAGACGACAGTCACGCGGCTTCTCAAACAATCTTTGTTCTTTTATTGGATGCCAGGTAGAACATCTTTTCGCAAAAAAGGGACAACAAAGACACGCTTCGTTAGAAGGCGTTCTTTGGGCTCTTCTTGCTTTCCTGTGTGCGGTCCAAAAATTGACTTCGAACACCGGTGAAAGCCCAGCGAGCGCCCGCGTTGTTGCCTACCTTCAACACTTCAAGGGGCGTTGGAACACCGACGACGAGGGGCTGTCCCCATGTGAAGTGAAACAAACCGCCTCGCGACACTCACTCGCCAGCTTTTCGTGTGTAGTGTGTGTGTTTTTTGCCGCAGGAGGGGGTCCAACCCCCCCCCTCCTATGTGACCCCGGTTAGGTCGTCTGGCTAGTAGAAGTGGAGGATAGGGGCCAGAGGGGCAGACGACAGAGTCCAATGATGGGAGAAAAAAAAAAAAAAAGGAACTCACTCGCCAACTTTTCGTGTGTACTGTGTAGTGTGTGTGTGGCGAACTGATTCAGCTGTGCATGTCGCGACTCCCAAGAGGACATTACGAGGGAAGCTACAAAGATCTGCAGAGCAACCCTTGCAAGCATCGCCTCCCCCCTAGTGCTGTTGGTCGAGCATGCCTGCCTCTACAAGTCTCACGCGAGACCATCTGGTTGACAGTATACACCGCCTATTTAGCATGTTGTCGGATCCATTCGCACGGACGGCCCTCGTCATGACGTCATGACGTCAGAGAGGTCAGGACCTTGTGTCGACGATCAAGGACAAGACCGCAACAACAACAACAACAACACCAAGAAACATGGTACAAGCTCATACACGCTGCAGAAAACAAAAACGTATGCATACGAAACGCCTGCCTCTTTGTCCTTGTTGGCCCATTCACTCACCACCTGGACGCCATGTACAACGCGAATAGACCGGCCTCCTGTTCCACCTCCTCCGCCGAGCACTCCTCCTCCACGCAGTCGGCCAGGGGGACATCTCCTCCCGACTCCTTCGCCTTCCTAGAAACCACCAACGAACGACCAAGGGGCGGCCGTTGTGCACAACAGATGATGGTGCAGTCAGTCAGTCACTACGCACGACGACCGCTTGCAAAAAAAACGGATTTTGATTGGACGTTGTTTGCTGTCAAAGACTATCCTTCTACCTTGTGGTACCAGATTATAGATTGAAGCAAAGCGGCACGGTAGACCCGCCACCAGCACGCCTTTTTTCACTTTCTTGCCTATTGGTTGGCTTTCAAATAGCACCGCGGGGGTAGAAAGTCTACTACCCGCATTCCGCTTGCTTGGCTGATAACCGGCTTGTCTTGGGGTTCCCGCCGTGACTTCTACGCCGAGCATCGACGGGGTAATTCCCCCCAGACTTCGATTGTCGCCGTTCATCTTCGGCATTCGTGCGATCTATACGTGCCGTTGCGTCCCTCCTCGCCTCGCCCTGCTGCTTGCAATAATCCTCCTCCGAGAGGTTGCTCTCACGATAAGGTTGGCCACCCGCAACCCTAACAGAGGGCCTCCTCCTGTGTTTCCTTCCCGACCGGGTCTTTCCTCCTGTCCGTCGGGCGCGTGCAGCGGAATCTCTCACGTCGCGCTTTGTCGCGGCGATGGGGGTGCGCACCTCGCTGGTTAGATTGCCCTCTCTCCTGCTACCACCCCGTGGACGTTCACTTGTGATGTCTCCTTGTGTGTGGTCGACCACTGGAGTCCCCGGGGTAAGCGTGCCTTCCGTAAGCTGGCGAAGGTCCCATATTAGCTGCATACCTCCGCTTCCGGGTGTAACAGAGCTCCCAGGCTGGTTCCGAGGCCTAGCCGGTGGCGTAGCCAGCTGACATGTCGGGCTGTTACCCCCACAAGCCGGGCTGCCCCGCCTACCTCTCCGACGGGTCATCTAACAGCAACTCGATCCATGCCGGCCGATATAAACACCTTACCAGAGTAGACTAAACAACAAAAATTACAAAATGTCACGTGATATGTACAGCATACGCAGGCCGCACACCTATCCTAGGTCTGGGCGCTTCATTGTCTCTTGACGGCCATGCAGAAGATCTGATCCGCCGTACGGGCATGCTTATGTGCCTGAGAGCGTGACGACTGAAACCTGTCGAACTACGTACTGTAGTATATATACCTGACTCTGTAAAGCTGCGGGGTTTCAATCTACACAGTATAGACTATGCACGGTCTGGAGTGTACGTAGCTGAGCGCCCCGGGTCATGTTTGGCTATAATAATAGTATACGGCAAAGAAAGCACTGAGATTAATTTGAACTTGAAGACAGTCGTACTTGCCTTCTTGAAGCCCAGATCTTCTGAAAATCGTTGTGATAGTCTGACCCTGAGCTAGCGTGATTGTATCCGGCATTTCCGTATTATCTTGGGGTGGGGATCGTGTGTCCAGTGGATACACACGCGCAACATGCAAGAGCGTGCGTTCGAACCCCCGGCGTGGGCTCTCCTGAAATTTGAATTTTGAACTCACCATGCTTATCCCCTGCATCACCAAATCGTCTCAAACCTTTTGCATTAGGTGGCAATGCGACCTAGGTAAATGGCGGAAGCATAGTTAGGCTGCAAGACACCAACCTCGCGCAGAGGTCGGTTCGCGTGTGAAGCCCGTGCCCTGATCTTGGAGCTTCTGGTCGGTAGGCTCTACGGCACGCTTGTAGCTAAAGTCCAACTTTCTCACCCTACCAAGTGCACCTGGACGTATAAAACACACCCTGCTGTGCCCTGGCATCGTGTTAACACAACTATTTTGAAAACTGGACAGTTTAGCCTCTTGTTCGCCCTCTAGAGCCGGTGCTGGGTGTGGAGGCCTTTTGCGCCATATGAGCCGCCTGATCAGAGGGGTTTCCACAGGGGGCCGCTCTCCCGTTGGAAGCTTTTTTTCTCACACTTTTTTTTTTTCAGCCGTGCAGCACTGTAGTAAGTAAGGTATGTAACACACCCTACAGCAGTTAGTAGATAGCCCAAGGTCACCCAAAAGGATCGGATGCTCTGAAAGCTAGGACGGGTGGAAGATTGATAAGTCTATAGTCTAGTTCTTCCCGGTGTAGAATCATTTTGAGGTCGATGGCGCAACACTGTTGTTACTACAAGAGAGAGCAACAGCAACGGGGTGTGTTTATTGTGTGGTTCGCGTTGACGATTGATTGTTGTTGTTGTTGTTGACGATGCGAGCAAAATAACATGATCGTAGTTGTTGCATTTTGTACACTGCTGTACACACAACACGCAGCGAGCGAGTTGGTCCAGTACCCGACACACAAAAATACAGTAAGTATGGCACTCTACATGTATAAAGCCAGCGTTTGATTGCGTGACAGGGGTGGCAACATTAATTATTGTTAAAGGTTCTAGGTATTGCCAAGAACGAACGAGTCATCATGCCACACTCAACGCAATGATTGATCGTCAGTTACAGTTATCCCTGTATCGAGTGCCGCCGTGTCTTCCCGTTGGACAGCTCGGCTCCCTGCCGTTCAACGAGCGGCTAACTAAACAAGATGCCACTACAACACATCAAAAGTGTTACGGATTATTGTTTGCTCCCGCACCATTTTATTTGCATCTTGTTCACTCCCGCAATTTTCCAATTTCAGCCCACAGAAGCCAACAATAAAAGGCCTTACCCCACCACGTTGTTCCTGTAGACGCACTCTTTGCCCCGATCCCCCAAAAGCCCAGAGAACAAAAGGATGTTGGCGTGCGCAGTTGGCTATTGCTACACGAAATCCATTCAAGTAAACAAACATAATATAAAAGACACGATACAAAAAAAATGGTCCTGACTACCAACCAACGACCTTGATCCAAATGGAACATTCACACATCACAGATACCAACATCCCTCGGGCGCGCAACTTCCCAAAAGACAAGTAGTAGTTGATCTCATCAGACCACAGGAGGATGGGTTGCCCCTACACGGCTATCCTGAGCCACCCAATTTCCGCAATGTATTGCGTCTTACGCTATCCGTTCCCGGCACCCCCTGCGGTGCATATCCGGGCTGGGTGGTCAAAAGCAACTCGTTCAAATTCATTCATCGTCGTGCGCTCTATATTATTCCTCGCCCTGGAACCACCATTGCGTACAACGATTGGCGTTACCTTTGTTAGTGACCCCATGCTTTCAGTATGGCACAACCCTCAACATCTCCTAGTACTGCAGTAGGCATGATGAAAAAACACCCAACGAAACCAACGGCCTTGGATGTGCGTACAACCCAACCACATGCAATGCGGCGCCATTCGTCAAAACTCCCACGGTGGGCACAAAGCGTCCGAAACGAATCCCTGCTAGATAATAATTAGTCGTCCCCAGACCTCACAATATCAACGTCCATCGTCCCCAACCGATCATCACGACTATTATACCATCTACGGCGATACAGAGCAGCAGCAGTAGATGCCCCCCTCCAAGTTGAGACCCCCTCCCCCCTGTCACCCCCCGAAGCACAACACACCCCTTCACAGAACACCGCCCCCGGTGGCGTTATTCTACAGCTATAACTAGCTCAAGCTCTACCACCAGCCACCACCAAGTCTGTATGCTGCACTTGTCTAAGGCCTCTCTATCTCTTGTCAACGTAGACCTTTTCGAAGCATTTTAGGGATATTGATCACTCTCCAGCTTCGCCCTCTTGCTTGCCCCACGATCTGGGTCCTACTGAAGCACCCCCCCCCCCCCTCTCCCTACGTAGGACAATTGCAAGTCCTTGCGTGCCTCTTCCGATTTCAGTTAGCTCTAAGCTGCTGCACTTGACCTAACGAGCTAGCGAACACAACATAAATACATGTACAGCAAGAGAGACAAGAGAGCACAACCACCCGGCACAACACCTTAGCAACACGGAAACCCATCGCCACCATCTGTACACCCTGGGGGCTCCGTGAAATCGCTAGGTGTTTCCTTCCCTCAACCATCCCCTCTTCTCAAGTTGTGGTGCAAAAAAAAAAAAAGTCAAGATTCCCACGCCTTTTCTTGTCTAGAGGTGGAGCATGTGTGTGTCGACAAGATTCTCTTACCATACTACCTAGTTTTACTTGGAGTGAAAAAAACGGTACGGTACTACCGCAGTATGATTATCGTTCCTCTCTTCAACGCACATCAGCCTCCACAAACCAAAGAAAATGTGGCCGAGTCATCTCGTAAAAAACGACAACAGTTGAGGCGGAATCGGGGGACGCACAACAATCACTACCTAAGAGTGAAGAGGCACTTCGTTGCTCGGGAGCGAAAAACTACTAGCAGCAGTTTCATTTTCCGGAGCGTGTGGGGACTCAGGACATGCCAAAGTCGGGGCCGGGATCATCGATGCGCGCATCCCCGCGCCCATGGTCAAGCGCGCATATTCCCTCCGACACTTGTTGTTCTGGTAGCCAGGTCATCCAGCATGTCTCTTCCTGCGGAAACGTGATGCCGAATAATCAGCGGTGGTCAATCATACGGGTCGTTGCGCTCGTGGGGGATAAGTTAAGCACAGACGATCAATAGGGCCGTGACAGCCGTAAACAGCATCAACATCATTCAGAGCGAAACAGAACCGTCAACCAACAGAGGCCGTGAGCGCGAGGCTTACAGCCTTGAAAGCGTAGACACTGCTGCGGGCACTAACTCACTCACCCATCCACCCACCCACCTGAGTTAAAATCAAACATGAACCGAAGCGAGAAAAGCAAAATGTAACTTGTGAACTGACCTCGACGCCATGTATGATTCGTACGGCGAGAGGCATTCCTGTTGCCTTCCTTGTGGCGCGGCAGCCTGAGGTGCGGTAGGCTTTTGGATAGCAGCTTCTTTTTTAGCCCTGCGCGCGTGAACAATCCAGAATTTTGTTAGGCAAATATTTTAAAGCGAGGCTAAGTTGGGCAAGAGAGACCGCTGACCGCGGGCATACATGTCAGTTCATCGCATCCTGTGTTATGGTCTTTCTTACTCCTGGAAGAAAGCGAAGCCCAGCACACTTGAAACACAGGCACGTACGCTTTAACGCATGGTACATCAAGGGATCTTGCCTACGAAAAAAAAAAACGGCATCGGCTTCCATTGTGACCAGAAAAACGAAAAAAAAACCAACGGAACAGGAAGATATAACAAGACAGCAAGCTAGGAAGGGAAGAACAACACTATTTGTACACGATACATGGTCACCGATTTCAAAGCTAAACCCATCCATCGAACACACGGAGGCTACGAACGAAACTCTCTCCGTTTGCTTTGCTCGGCAACGGCCAAGTGCAAAGCAGGCCGTATTCGTTGCAGTGTTCGCCCACCTCGCCGCCATGTACTCCTCGTACAACGAAACTGGAGCAGTTGCAGCCTCTCTGGAAAACACACACAAGGACAACACAAGCAAGAAATGCACCGGTGGACGGTGGAATTAATAAATGCGGAGAAACGAACATCGCAAACGCAACTGAACGGCAACAACATGCGTCCAGGAGTTCTCCTTAATTGGGCGCTATGTAGCTGGCGTACGGGCTCGACCGCCGCCGCAGCACGCCCAACAGATAGAGGACAGACGAGGAAGAAGAAAGATGAGAACGTCAGCGAGCGAAGACCCCAACAACGCCAGAGCAGGAAAGACATGCACGTAACGCACACCAGCGGAACAATTAGCTATCTTGTACGACTGTATGCTGCTGGATCCCCACCTGCACTCGTCTGGTACATCCGGACACCCTGGCTCGCACGACGCCTCCTTTCTGAAAAAACGGAGGGAGGCGAGACAGAAAGGCAGACACGCACAGAGGCAGGGAGACAGCGACAGCGAGAGGAGGGGGAGAGAGCTGAGCCCAGCTTAAGCGAGTCGACAAGGACTTCACCAGGGTGAAGCATGGAATGCAAACAGCTAGGCCTCAAACAGTCAAACGCAATCTACCTGTGAAGCTGAGCGACTTGAGCTGGGGAATAGGCGTGCTGATCGTACTTCGGTGGCTATAAGGTATGTAGCCAACATCGTGGAGAAGAGGCTGCCGGCATGGATCGGTTCGTTTCCTTCAACCCACCCTCTGCCACCACTTTCTGTCAAGAGTGGACGCAATAAGACAAGACAACCTCACAAACAACAAAATGATCGAACACCGAGGAGGGTTAACATATCCGCCAAAGGCACGTACGTAAGTACGTCCCGAAATTACACCCCCTCCTGCCCAGGTTCTAGCATCATCGGCGTGTTGCCGAGGTGAAACTCTGCCCAACACATCAACCACGCGTACGAGACGACCCCCACAAAAACACCAACAATAATGGTGTCTTCCCCCAACGGGTTGGTCACTCACGATCGATCTCTCCTCAAGAAGAAGTTCAGCACCGGAGACAGCAGACGAGAGAACGCCGACCCTGCTCGTCTCAACGTTGTCATCAACCCCCCGACGCGCGACGTCTGCTCTTTCTCCTCCTCCTCAGGAGCCCCGCACTCCATCGACTGCCCCCTGGAATAACAGAGAGTGCGATCAACACAGATAAACAGCCAGATGGCAGGGAATACAGCGGCGGCATCCCGTCCACACAGTTATCAAGATAACTATCACAGCAAAACGAAGGAAAACGAGGGAAACAGCGGCATCCAGACTACACACGAATTAACACGAACCCGCAAAAAGGTGCAATCACGAGGAAGAGACAGCAGCAGATAGCAAGCAAGAGGCCCTCAAGAGGCGTCCAAATGACTCATTTCAAGTCTCAGGTTCACCACTCCTTGCCCTCTCATCGAAATTCCGCAACGTCACGGGTACCCACCATCCCACGGGAAAGCACCACGGCGACTGACTCCTAACCACACAACACAACATCCAATTTTATTCACACCAGAAAAAAAATGGCGTGACGGAAGAAAGGGGGGGGTGCTGAAGCTCAACTCGTATCTCTCCTTCTTGTTGCTTTGATAATGATTTAAACCTTCACAGTCTTTGGTTGCGTGGACGACAAACATGACCAAGAACCAAGACTACTTGACCCCACATCACCCACCTCGACCGCATGTACTGCTCGTACGGAGACACATCCCCGCATGATGCCTGTCCTGCAGAGCCACCGTTAGGAGTCACCGACGAGCTGCCAGAAGAAGAAGAAGAAGAGGCGGGCCTCCCAAGACCAGCGACCCTTCTCACCGAAGCTCGGGCGGCGAAACCGACCTTTCTCAGCAGTCCGCCGGAGGCGACAGGTCCGCTCTTCGCCGCCGCGGCCGGGGGAGCGGCACACTCAATCGGCGGGTCTCTGGAAACCACGAAAACAACAAAAACAAACAGACAGTCGAGGAGGAGATGAAAACAGAGGTTTGGCAAGGAACAATGCGAGGAGCAAACCGACGCCATGGAGCAAACGAGATACAAGTCCGTGAGATTGGCCAGGCGTGTCCACGTGGATCTCTTGGGGAGACGGCGAATAAATTTTCACAGCTCCTGAAAATGAGAGGCGACGTTGCAGAAACTGCTGTTAGCCGAACGCGGGGCACAGCATGAGGCGGCTCAAACTAGTTTCCTCGCAAGGGCGCAATAAGAAAGTCTGATCGCCCTGTTCTAAGTCGGTGAGATAGTGTGGTATCATACGAGTCCGGAACGTTCGTTGCCTTATGGTCTGGAAAGTGCAGGGTGCTCCGTGTACCCGGCCAAAATTCAGCAGTGGCCTGTTGCCGGACAAACCACTCACGGTTCTCCGCTCGCCAAGCACTCCGACAGCCCGTGCTCCCCAGTCGTCAACCTCACGCTCTCGACTGCCTTCGCCGCATTTTCTTTCGCAATCCTGCAACAACAACAAAACAAAAATCAATGCAGCAACCAAGACCAAGAAAAAGGCGGCGGTCGGGAAGGGGATTCACTCTCCGTGTAATACGCAGGCAACCACAGCATTGTCCTTGCAGCACCACACGTGCAAGTGACTAAACTAAGCCTTGCTCAAGACCCTACCTCAAAGTGGAATTTCTCGTCGGTGGTCGCAACCTTTGAATAAAGAAGGAAAAATGGCCCACGCACGCAGGCGCGCCAGAAGCCTTAAGCCTTGCTCGACAGTTGGCCACAGGGATGCCTCACACACAAAAAAAGCACTATTTAACAGCAGTTCAAAAATCCAAGCGGCCTGGTAGGTAAAAAACATTTCTTTTTCGAAATCGCCGTCCACAGCTCTTTCGTTCACCTCGACGCCATGTAGGATTCATACAGCGAACCAGTTTCGCCTCGCACTGACGGAGACGGAGCCGCCTTTTCCTCCGCTGGCACAACGGTTCGGTGAACCCACTGAGCAGGAGGAGCTTCGACTTGGGCAGTGTGTTTTTTCCTGCAAGCAAGCGGAAAAACACATGGAAAAAATCAACGCATTGATAGATATAAAGGTGAAATGGACCTGATGGCACCCACCTTTCAACAGAATCTGCGAAAGTTAAAGTTCGATGCTTTTGTTCCGCACGTGTGCGCCCAGCCGCCGAGAGAACGTGACGCCAGGTAAAACAAGCTCAGGAGATATACAAAGTCGATAGACCCATGCCCACAGGCATCTCTCATACCAAAACATACAGTTTAGGGCTCAAAGTCTAGGCTTTTTCGCCTTCGAATGCACAGAACCATGCATCTCATCTCGCCACAACAAGGAAGGTACCTATTGGGCGACCAGCACAGCACGAGACACTCAATAAACATCTCAACACACAAATACCTCGCGGCCATGTACTCTTGGTACGGAGAGGGGGCAGGCTTGGAGCTGACTGTTGGGGGTGGCGACCGTTGTGCCGCCGAGGGAGGCGATACCTTGGGGGCGGACGACGCCACCTTTCGTCGAAAACCAGGCATTGTTGGGGGCAACGGGGGGGGGCACGCTCAACCAAGGTATTCCAGCGTGCGGCGACGAGAGTTGATGCACTTTGTCAAGTCCAGTTGTAGAACCCCTGGATTGTAGGTATCAACCAGTAGAGCGTTTGTCCGTGCCCGTTCTCCGAGTAAAGTTGAAGAAAATGACACAGCAGCAGCAGCAGCAGCAGCCAGAAAAGCCAACCAGAACAGTTCCATTCCGTTCCCGTAAGCGTGACGAGGTCGAGAGTGAGAGCGAACAAAGATATTGTCTTCCTCGCACGTCACCTACAATAGCAAACAGCCGGCCAAAGGCACCTGATAACATGTTGATATGCTTTCAGCCGACCATGAACCTTTGTTTTTCTCCTTATCTTGAATACATAGAGTTGTTGCACAGAGCATTTGAGAGATGCCGAACGAGGGCGAACCATCTGTCTGCATATATTGTATCAACATGTTATCAGGGCCGCCGCCTACCTCCATTGTTCACCCCAAATTGGATTCGTCAGTAGAGAGTAGCCCGAGTTACTCTTGCATTTTTGCTCTTGGACTTCAGCGGCCAAGTCAACGATAGTCCGTGTACCGAGAGTAGTCCCAGCAACTGAAAAACCAGTCGCAGGACAAGCCAATTCAACCCCCAACCCCCCTTCCTCTCACCCAATCACCCAACCCCCGCACCTTCTCCTTTAGGAACTCCTCCATCGACTCCAGGTCCCGGGTGCCGCTGTACGGCTCCACGCCGCCCCCCGCTGGGAAAAACTTTAACCTAGGGAACCCGGTGATGTCGAACCGCTTCTTGAGGTCCTGCTCCCCCGTGGCATCAACCTGGCGAACGAGTGATTTACGACCGCGGCATCGGCGGGGGGGTCCGTGTAACGGTTTCAGCAGCGATGGAGCCGTGGGAGTAGGTATCGTTGGAGGGTTGTGGGGGCGCCGAAAAGGGGGGCATAACAAGCGGGGCGCGGCATGACTGCATGCACTGTACATCACGTACCGCCGTCGTGGTGTGTTTGGGGGGGAGGTGGACCACCTTATGACGATGGTGTAGGGGTGGGTTTAGGTAGATGCTTCGAAACTGTCGCACGGCGGTGGTTAGTGGTGCCAGGAAGCCAGGAAGGAAGAAGAGACACATGAACATTAAATGACATGGTCAACGGTCGCGAAAGCCTTTAAAACTCCTTGAAAGACCACGCCACCTCGACTTACACGAAGCTTGTCCGGTGTAATCACTTCCGCGGGAGCTGGGTGGCCATGAGCATACGCTGAACATAACTGCTGTTTCTCTACAGGTCGTGTGCACTCCGCTGCTGTGAGCGCGCGCGCGGGGGGGGGGACCGTAATCGCAACGCCTTATCAAGCATATGTACACTATTTCACAACACGCGGCTCAATTGTACCTTCGCCACCACGACGTTGCTCTCCGTCTCGAAGCGTCTCCCCAGCTCCTCGTAGACGGGCTCGAGCTTCTTGCACGGGGTGCACCAAGGCGCGAAGAACTCCACCAGAGTGTGCTTGCTGGGGTCCATCGCCACGGCGTCGAAAGTCTCAAGCGTCAGCGATCTCACCGCAGAAGGTGCTTTTCGTGTGTTCTCCTTTTAATACGAGGTAACAGGAGTTTTCGGGACACAAGGAGCGAGAGCGGGGGGGGGGGGGGGGGGGGGGGGGAAAAAAAAAAAGGGGCCCCGCGGGGGGGGGGGGGGGAACCCCCCTTTTCCCGGCCTTTTGGGGGTTAAAACCTTTGACCCCCGGGCCGG